GCACACATGACGGCACACATGATGGCACACATGATGGCACACATGCACACATGATGGCACACATGATGGCACACATGATGGCACACATGACGGCACACATGACGGCACACATGATGGCACACATGATGGCACACATGATGGCACACATGATGGCACACATGATGGCACACATGATGGCACACATGATGGCACACATGACGGCACACATGATGGCACACACGTGATGGCACACATGATGGCACACATGATGGCACACATGATGGCACACATGACGGCACACATGATGGCACACATGATGGCACACATGATGGCACACATGACGGCACACATGATGGCACACATGATGGCAATGATGGAACACATGATGGCACACATGATGGCACACATGATGGCACACATGATGGCACACATGACGGCACACATGATGGCACACATGATGGCACACATGACGGCACACATGATGGCACACATGATGGCACACATGACGGCACACATGATGGCACACATGATGGCACACATGACGGCACACATGATGGCACACATGATGGCAATGATGGAACACATGATGGCACACATGATGGCACACATGATGGCACACATGACGGCACACATGACGGCACACATGACGGCAATGATGGAACACATGATGGCACACATGACGGCACACATGACGGCACACACGTGATGGCACACATGATGGCAATGATGGCACACATGATGGCACACGCACGCGTCAATATTCCGCGAGTACATCAGAACGACGGTGCGGCGCATGACACGAGGGGTTTGTCAACGGCTGCCCATTGCGCATTGCCAATCTGTTTGCATGTTTATCCGCGCCCCCTTATTCTACTTTGCTGGAGCGTTTATTTATTTATTTATCTTCTTGTTATTATTTTTGGGGCTCCGCGTCTCCCCTCTAATCCGCTCTCGCCCTTCCCCAGGGCCTTCCCAACGTGGCTAGAGGTCCCGTGCCGGATGCTGTGCGCGGGACACGCGGGGAAGACGACTCAGCCTCAATTTACTCCACAGCTCGTCTTGTGATGGTGGGGGGCAGCCCCCCCCCCACCCTGCCCCACTCACTCACCCAGCATACACCCACCCCAACTCGCCTCTCATATGCATGAACCACCATCCAACAAGACAACCACCAACACCGCATGGGATTAACAACAACATCACCCACTCAGCATCAACAACAACAACATCACCCACTCAGCATCAACAACAACATCACCCACTCAGCATCAAAAACAACATCACCCACTCAGCATCAACAACAACATCACCCACTCAGCATCAACAACAACATCACCCACTCAGCATCAAAAACAACATCACCCACTCAGCATCAACAACAACATCACCCACTTAGCATCAACTACAACATCACCCACTCAGCATCAACTACAACATCACCCACTCAGCATCAACAACAACATCACCCACTCAGCATCAACAACAACATCACCCACTTAGCATCAACTACAACATCACCCACTCAGCATCAACTACAACATCACCACTCAGCATCAACAACAACATCACCCACTCAGCATCAACTACAACATCACCCACTCAGCATCAACTACAACATCACCCACTCAGCATCAACAACAACATCACCCACTCAGCATCAACTACAACATCACCCACTCAGCATCAACAACAACATCACCCACTCAGCATCAACCACAACATCACCCACTTAGCATCAACTACAACATCACCCACTCAGCATCAACAACAACATCACCCACTCAACATCAACTACAACATCACCCACTCAGCAACAACCACAACATCACCCACTCAGCATCAACAACAGCATCACCCACTCAGCATCAACAACATCACCCACTCAGCATCACCCACAACATCAACCACAACATCATCCAATTAGCATCATCCACCACGGCCACCGCTCATCATGATATATCACCAGCACCCATCATCGACTACCACTGCCACTATCATCACCAACACCACCACCACTAACCTCACCACCACCACTAACCTCACCACCACCACTAACCTCACCACCACCACTAACCTTATCACCACCACTAACCTCACCACCACTATCATCACCACCACCACCACTATCCTCACCACCACCACTAACCTCACCACCGCCACTAACCTCATCACCACCATTAACCTCACCACCATCACCACACCACCACCACTATCCTCACCACCACCACTAACCTCACCACCACTAACCTCACCACCACCACTAACCTCATCACCACCACTAACCTCACCACCACTATCCTCACCACCACCACTACCTCACCACCACTATACTCACCACCACCACCACTAACCTCACCACCACCACTAACCTCACCACCACCACCTCCTCCTCTCCCCTCGCTACCACCGCCCACTCCCCCCCAGCCTCTCGTTTATCATAAAAGGCGGCGGGGGATTAACGGATCACAAACCAAATCTTAATTCCTGGGAAATATTAAAAAATATTGAAATGTAACAGCGGATCCACGGAGCGCGTTCCTAGAGAGGATTAAACACGGAGACTTCCATTAAACGGCGCCCCCCAATCCAACAGAGCCCCCCCCCCCACTCAACACAATCCAACACCCCCCAACTCAACACAATAAAACAGCCCGCCCCCACTCAACACAATCAAACAGCCCCCCCACCACTCAACACAATCCAACAGCCCCCCCCATTCAACACAATTCAACCCCCCCGCCACTCAACACAATCCAACAGCCCCCCCCACTCAACACAATCCACCGCCCCCCCCACTCAACACAATCCAACAGCCCCCTCCCCACTCAACACAATCCAACAGCCCCCCCACTCAACACAATCCAACAGCGCCCCCCCCACTCAACCACTCCACACAGCCCCCCCCCCCACTCAACACAATCAAACAGCCCTCCCACTCAACACAATCCAACACCCCCCCACTCAACACAATAAAACAGCCCCCCAACTCAACACAATAAAACAGCCCCCCCCCCTCAACACAATCAAACAGCCCCCCCCCACTCACACATCAAAGAGACCCCCCCCCTCAACTCCCTACAGTAATTAACAGTCTAATTAATTAGCTATCATTATCCATTAACCCACTGCTCTATCGTCGTTAAATAAAAGATTCCCTGTAGCATCAGTCGGCCCGGGCCATTATCGTTACAATTAAGTAACATAACATTAAACAGATATCGGGTTATTAGTGCACTCACTTTAAAGGACAAGGATATTATGAGTCAGAATCAGAATATCTGTTTATACTGGAGAGGTGTGAAGTTATCTTTTTAAAGGTGTTCATTCGGGGAGGGTAAGAGCGTTGGACCTGGAAAATGTCATTCTGTGGCAGTGTTAGTCTATGGGTAGTGTTGAGTCTATGGACAGTGTTAGTCTATGGGTAGTGTTAGTCTATGACTCTATGGGTAGTGTTGAGTCTATGGGCAGTGTTGAGTCTATGGGCAGTGTTGAGTCTATGGGCAGTGTGAGTCTATGGGTAATGTTAGTCTATGGGCAGTGTTGAGTCTATGGGCAGTGTTGAGTCTATGGGCAGTGTGAGTCTATGGGTAATGTTGTCTATGGGCAGTGTTGAGTCTATGGGCAGTGTTAGTCTATGGGTAGTGTTAGTCTATGGGCAGTGTAAGTCTATGGGTAGTGTTAGTCTATGGGCAGTGTTAGTCTATGGGCAGTGTTGAGTCTATGGGCAGTTTTTAGTCTATGGTAGTGTTGAGTCTATGGGTAGTGTTAGTCTATGGGTAGTGTTGAGCCTATGTTAGTGTTGAGTCTATGGGCAGTGTTAGTCTATGGGTAGTGTTAGTCTATGGGCAGTGTTAGTCTATGGGCAGTGTTGAGTCTATGGGGAGTTTTTAGTCTATGGGTGGTGTTGAGTCTATTGAGTAGTGTTGAGTCTATGGGCAATTGTGAGTGTCTGAGCCATGTTAGTCTATGGCGACCATAATACCAACCTATAAACCACACGAAGAAATGGCATTTCAA